GCATGATGAACCAACCAATGCTTAGATGGTTGTGAAAGTCAGTAGGGGGGTGGGGGGTGGGGGGATACGTTTAGGTCTCATTGTGGTTGATTACAGTGAATAGTTAAATTGATTTAACAAAAAAATCCAGTCCTGTTTAATCCCTAAGATATTTGAATGCACTGGCGAGAGTTAAAAGGAACTAATTTTTTTTTTTTTTATTGATGTTTTTTTTTCTGGACTTGAGTATTACAGCCTGTCATGAAGTGCAAAATACTACAATGAAGGCCTTGTACATTAGTGCAGCTAAAGACTGTAACTGAAGAATGGCAACAAAATTCTGCTTTCAAAACTGGATCAGTTTCTGTCTTCAGTCCCCAAACATTTATTTAGTGCTGTTAAATGGAAAGATAAGGAAAGGTGAGAAAAATGGCACAGTAGTAAACATGCCCCTGTCCTAACTTATTTGGACCATTTTGAAGGTATCATATTTCAAATGAGTATATATTTACAAAAATACAATTAGGGAAATAAGGTAGAAAATCAAATGTTGTGTTTTTGTACTGTTTTCAATTTAACACAGGTCAAATAAAATTTACTAACCACTACTTTTTGTTTTTATTGGCATTTCACACAATGTCCTAACATTTTTGAAATTAAGTCTAAATTGCAGAAGAGACTACAAAATCTAAAAAGCACCAACACATTTATTCATCATTTTGACCATATTATTATTATTATTATTATTTTATTATTATTATTATTATTATTATTATTATGGTATAAAGTCTTTTTACATTAACTCACATTAAAATGATAAATGATGAAAGAGCATCTCATGGTTCATTGCTTTCAAATTTTTGTCAGCAACAGTGTTAGAGAGCACAACCTTGTGGGCAGCAGTTGGTCCTGCATTTTTACACTCTTCGCATATTCCAAGCTGGAAAACTTACTAAAATAAAGGGTCTATAAAGTCCAGCGATATATTTTAAAACACTAGCACAGATCATCTGTTGTGTAATAAGTTCTCCTGAATTCAGCATTCAAGCTGTTCAACTTAGTAGATGCAATGGTACAGTGGGCCCACAGTTTGGTATGTACAATGGTTTTTGGGCCACGGTAAGATTATGGTTTCAGAATCTTTATATTTAATAAAATAAATAAATAAAATAAAATAAAACGAAAGCCTCACCCTTTAAACAATGAACTCTTTATTGTACTTATAGACAAATAAAACTTTCCATCCAGAAAAATGACAGCATGACTGGTTTCTGTACTGTATGAAATCAAGGGGAGAAAAACATTAAGATTAAAAGTGTTTCTCAGCTTTGACAACCTGTAAGTGCTTTGCCTTCTCTATTTTAAATAAATAGAGGACATTGTAATGGCCATTACACAACGGATGCGCTGTGTTGGGTAGAGTAGCATCATGCAGCACGGTGCTGCTATAGAATGCCAGCAGGGGGAACCGAGAAAAAGTAGGTAAAAGCTAAGTTCATTTTTTGTACCATTGCGTCCCTATTACTGTCACACTGCTGCCTCTTCATGTGGCTGCACTGCAAAAGATGCATTCAATTTACATGATTCAAATATATGCATAATTTCCAATTAAAAATCATGCATTAGTAAACTGAACAACAAGAACACAATTCTATATATTAGTTTACTAACTGTTTACCATGACTGTGTTGATGTAACATATTTTATCCACAGGTTTGGGCAGTAATGGAATGCATGTAATGGCATTGTGTAATTAGGGTACAAAAAATGTAACTATATTCTGTTACAGTTACAATAAAAACATCAGTAACCAGATTATAGGTAGATTACAAAAATAGTGTGACTATCAGAATTACATTCAATTTTGTCAAAATGTTTTTAATGAAAAATGTGTCACAGACGTTGATTTGAGGAGTTTTTCACTGTAGGAAGTTGTGTGGGTGCCGTCAACAGAGAGATCTGAAGAAGAATCCCAACTACTAGCAGCAGTTTGCAGTCTATTATTTAGCCAATCTATAGAAATTTAGTATTCTATTTTTATTGGCAGAATTTTTAACTAGGCATTAATCCTGTTTACATCAGACTTTACAGAAGCAAACTGATGATTCATTCTATTTTGTTGCTACATAAAATTATATGGTTTGATATTAACTATAAATCAAACTTTTGCTATCATGCTAAAATGAGCCGATATTATTATTAACTAAGAAGAATAACGCAGAACGGCATAACGAAACATGAAAAGAAAAAAAAAGTCACAGGATTATCACGTGAATAAAAACTGGATTTTGCACACTTCACATGTTAAACAATGTGTTATCACATTGGAAAAAATGTGTTACTTTGTGAAAAATGTGATCACGTGAAAAACGTGATGACTTGAAAACATGTGGTTTTGGAACACTTCACAAATGACTTGTAAGGGTCCTGAGTGTCAGTTGGTTTTGTTTTCGCATCATGATTTATTTGTTTAGTAGTTTAAGGATGACAGGGGCAAAAATGTTAATGTGTATAAATGTTCATTATCTGTAACTACCACTTAGTTTTCAAATAAAAACAATGCCTCTTATAACTCATAGAACATGCTGATTTCTGTGGATTGATGAGAGCTGAGGGAGCATCAATAAATTACATCACAAGAAATCAAATCATGACACATCAATATAAAGTCTGAAGAACCAGTACAGGCCTTTAGCAGAAAGTACACAAAGTCAGAAGGTCACTATGAGACCCCTCATCAACAATAATTAGTCTCGAAGGAAAATTTCTACCACATTGACCTCCTGACTTTGTTACACAGACAATTAAGTCACCTATAATATTCATGTTTGCACTTTGTTAAGTTACATTTATCTTGTTGGAATATTTTCTTGTTATCATTATCATCATTATTAATTGTAAGACTTTAAAAAGACAAGCAATCCAAAAGTAATTTAAAGTAATCAGATTACATTACTGTGATATATAATCATTTGCATTAGATTACAGATTATGTTTTTTTAACAGGTAATCAGTAATCTGTACTAGAACAAATTTTTAAAGTAACCCTCCCAACCCTGATTATTCATGTGGAAATGATATACAGGTTTGAGAAGTAAACTCAGTGCTTCACTTTCATCAATTTAGTGGAATCTATACCTGAGGTTTACCATCCCAAACATCCAAATCAGTGCTTCCTGATGGGATTTTTTGCTAATATAGTTCATCCTGATTTCTGGACCTTAGCAACCATTTACATGTCAATTCATCTGCTAATGTTAGCCTTCTACTGCACTGAAATTTTTTACTTGAAAGCTTCATAGATTTTAATGGATAGTCAACCATCACATCCCTCTTGGACTCCCTGTATCATACTTTGTAATGTTAGGTACCCAGCAGCCTGCATGAACTTTTAACCTGTTCCTAGATGTTTCCATTCCACCAAATGTCCATATTTGTTTCCTTCCTCCAGATCTTTACAGTCATTGCCATTGCCCACTGGTGTATCTCACAGATTTGGCATTCCTCTGTATAACCCTGTTGTCACTGTTTCATTTTTCTTGTAAAGTGCAATACAAAGTGCAGCCCAGAGGTGGATAGATTCTGTCTTCCTCCCTTCCACACGGTATCACTATAAAGTAGTGATAAAATAAGTCTGTACTTGAAGGCTTATGCCGGCCTTAAACCAAATGACTTTTCAAGCGATTTCACTGTTGCAGACCAAGTTCGGAATAAAATCATGAGAGTCTTCCTAGAGTTGTATTGCGCTCGCGTCATCTCGATCGTTTAGTGTGAGGCGGTCAGGATAGCTGTCTTAAGTCTTTTTCTCATTTTGACGCTATGACAAAATCAATCGTGTTTAATATTATTAAGTTTAAAGTCTTGGCTCATGCAAATAGTGAGAGAGAGAAAGAGCAAGGGAGAAAATGCATGCCTGAGTACCTGAAATCTCTGTAAAAAGGCAAATCTGCTCCAGTTTAAAACAATAATCATATTAATACAAAATGTAATCTGTTTAAATATTTCAGGTTCTCTGAGTGTAACAGTGATGTAAGGAAATGACCAGGGGACTTTTTAAAATGGTATTACTGAAGAAGAATCAATGGTGTTATCCTTTTTTTTTTTTTTATTTGCATACTGTTACAGTGATTTCTTATTTTGAGCTGCATATCTTTGAAAAACGTATTTGTTATTTGTTAAAAATGTAATTGTCGTGTTAAATTGAATGGAACAGAACATTAAGGAGAATGTAGTATACTTAAACATTTCTATTTTTTTTAATTGTGTCAATAAAAATACTGTTGATGTTCATACATTCATGTTCTCAGAAAATAGCATCAGATGTAATCATTTAAACTTAGACCAGGGTAGGATAAAATTCTACTGTTAGTGGAGATTCTTCAATGAAAATACTTTTCAGTCCAGGATGGGAACCTGCGTCAGTGCTTAGATACCATTTCACATCAACATGCTTCCCTTATTGGGCTGATACAATCATGAACACCTAGCTGATGATTTCTTGCCATATAAATAATTGCAATTCATGACGTAATTGTCTTTTCTTGCTTATTGTTCAATGAATTGTCTTTTCTTGTTTAACGTAAAAGCCTAAAGTGGCCAAATTAGCTGATTAGCCACAGTCAACTCAGTACTGTGCCCACACTCATGTAAATGTCTACACAGCATTATGTTACACAAAGCTACATGTTCTTCACAAGAGTGAAAAACATAAAAAACATAACTTACGTTCTGCTAGCATACATGCTAAAAACATTAGAATTAGCTGCATAGCGGACAAACAAACAAACACTGCTCAGCACTGCCTTCTAAAAATGTTAGAACACCAAGTCTGAAGTTAGAACTTTTTTCATTAGCCCCATGGTGCCTCAGTAAATGCGTTTGTTTTATTTACATGCAATTTATATGCTTTGTTTTATTTACAGGTTTATTTACATTTATTTATCTCTACCCAACATACCCAATTCACATTTTGTTTACTGCAGTATAATACGACTGTGAAATCTAATGATTTGGAAAAAAATTGTTTCTTGTATTTTTGTAATTGTGTGACTAATCCAAAAGTAAGTGTAAGGCAATAAGACTCTTTTACTTTAATATAGTGATCTTGTGGATTACAGATTACGTTTTGAACAGGTAATCAGTAATCTGTCTCAGGACAAAATTTTAAGGTAACCCCCCTCAGGTATGTATGTTTAACACACTGAATACAAGAAGTGGATCAGTTAAATGATTTCACTTCACATAAAACTCTGAATTTAGATCTACAGTCGTTATCTGTCCATTTGAAGTCTTCCTCTATATCTATGGCACCACAGTGGTGAGACAGTGGAGGCTCTGGCTGTCTCCCTCCCAACCAGTTGGTCCAGGGACCCACACCAATCCCATCAGTCCAAATCCAGAAGCCAAATAGCTGACTCTGTGCAAGCCCCACCCACAAAGTTCCAGAGACACGCCTCCTCCTGAGCTCAAACTCCACCTCTTTCTGGTCAGACTCAGACTGAATGCGCAGAAAACCAGCTCTGTTATCTTTTTTACAGTAATCCAGAGCGTCCTCCCAGCTCATACTGTCATTACTAACATGGATGAATGCTGAAAGAAATGTAAAAATACAAATGAAAAGTTTTAGAATGAAATCTGACACTGAATGATAATTTTACTCATGATATATTTCATTGCAGAAAAAAAAAAGGTTGTAAAGTCATGACTTACTGCGGTAGCACAGCGCACACTGCATATTACTGCATGGCTCTGAATACCATTTTCCTGATAACAGTTTTACACATTGTGATGGGAGTGGTTCAGGTTGACTAGTTGCCCAGTTTCTGTATGCAGAGTGTCCTCCATCAGTCCACTCCCAGTCATCATGCAGCAGACCAATCCAGAAGGGTGTGCTGCTGTTCAGCCCTTTTATCTTCACTGCTTCATTCTGGTTCTGATTTCTGATGCTGACCAGATCAGTGTAGTTCTTCCTGCAGTAACTCTGAGCTTCATACCACGACATAGGCTTAAGAATCACATGATAATTAAGGGTGAGATCAGTAACATCTGTAAAAGGGAAAGAACAGACACATTAATTTTGATTTATTATTTATTTTCATGTAATTAATATGCTTTATTAAACTTAATTAAATCACTTTCTTAAATTACTTTAATAAATCTACATGAGTAGTGATCAGTAATTACCTTGTTTATAGCACATGAAATTTCTTTTTATTGTGCAGTTAACACTTTCCCACGCATCATCAGCCTTCATAGCAGCACAGCAGGGACCTGACCCACAGTCCCCTGTCAGCTTACTGAATGTAACATCATCTCCATTAGACCATTTATCATTGCGATAGAGGCCAATCCAGGCAGAACCAATATTTTTGAGTAGAGTGTTGTCTTCATCATGGTACACAGTGACCAGGTCAGTGTAGTTTGTTCTACAAGCTACTCGAGCCTCACTGTAATTCTGTTTATTTCCAATGGCATGGAAAGTTCTGAGACGACTTTGGCCTGCAGGAGAAAAATCTGTAAAAAATATTCTCTAGTTAATGCAGCAGAACAGAAACAACAGGGCTGGATGTGATGTATATGATTATACTTGAAACCTTATTTTTGTTTTCCAGCAAGTCCTTAACAACTTTAGGTATGCAATTTGCACAAAGCTATTTGATAGGATATGAGCTTTTATTACTTGCTAGCTACATTAGCCTCATAGCCCCAGTGCAAAATAAAACATTTTGAGACACTAAGCATGTCTTGGCTGAATGACTACATTTTGTTTAAAGGTTTAAATTTTGATTACAGTTATTTAAGGCTTTAAGCTTTAATAACAATCACAGTGCATTTACAGGACACTGTATAATTATATTATAATAATTCAATATATAATACATTATGTTCTGTATTTGTCCATGAGGAGCATTTCAGATTATTTGTAGACACTGTGAAGAAGAGAACCGAGGCCAGGATTGTCCTTGAAGAGGTGATCAGAAGACTCTACGTGCCTCAATGTTGGCTCCAAGGCAGCTCAGCCTGCTGAAATAAGCTTCTGTAACTTTCTTGATAAGCCTCCTACATCAATAATGATGTCTTTCTCTGTTATCAGGAGCTTACAACTGTTAAAACAAATTAAGTTTGTCCACATGTGATCTTGACCCTGTTCCTACTGTAGCGAACAATGGCCGGAATTTCACCTCCAGCTGAGTGTTTACCCAAAGTTAAGGGCTTCTGGCTCCAGCAAGACTGGTTGGAGGTGTAAATCTGTCATGCTTGATACCCCCAACCCACACTTAGCAAAATTTACAACTGCATCAAGAACCAGCACCCCTCTCCCTTCACCCAGTAGAAAAACAGGACACCTCCTCTGGAATGTGGCAGATGGCTCTCCAAAGCACTGTGGACAACTTTTTATCTTAAGTAACAGAAAGTACATTTCTAAGGTGTTTGTCCACTCCAAACTGCAACCATTCGTTAGAACTCTTTTTAACTAGACATACCAAAACGGAATTTGTACGACCTTGGACGGCAAAATTCCAACTTTCTAAATTCCCTAGGGATCTCAAGCATGGACCCACAACACCCCCAAGGGGTGAAACTGCAAATTACCACATCACCACCATAAGGACTTGTGCTTATAAGAAAGAAAGAAACTTTGTGCTTTGTCTGCTTGATTATCAACGTTTCTATGATCCGTAAGCAATACTACTTGTGGTATTAATCTTGTTGTTGGGTAGTACCTAAATATTACCTGTATCTTTTTCTATTGTTAAGTGCTAGAAATACGTAGAGTATAACTTTGATAACAGTCAGACCCAACCATTTAATTGCTATGAGTTTAGACCATTGACCAAGATGTATCCTGAATGTGGTTTTCTTTTCTTTTCTTCCTTTGTTCCTTTCCTTTTATTGTTGATTTTCTTTTTTTTCATGCATTGGGTCATGTTCAGAGATGATACCTGTGTGATAGTACCTGTGTTCTTTGACATGTATTGTGTATCAGGTAACAAGGGTTAAACTCTCTCTTAGAAACATGCCTGAATATCCTAATTGTTCATTCCTTGATTTTGAAAGTTAAACCAATTGGATGATATAGAAATGTTCTTTTTTCTTTGTTTAAACTAGCTTTGTTTAAACTTGTTTAAACAAAGGAGGCAGTGATTTTGGGGGAAGGCATTCCTCAAATTATGCACAACCAATCAGAGTTGAAAAACTGAGTAGCTAGTTAACCTTAGGTGAGGAGAACCTATCAGCACTCTGGCACCACCTCCAAAGGGTAGGGCCTCCAGCCGAGCAAAGTTCCTGCATTCGCAACAAAAGTTTCTAAGTTTGTGCCGGCCTAGGTCAGAAAGACAGGTCAGAAGTATTAGGACGCTAAATTTTCAGATCTGGAACCTTTGTTTGTTTTGTAACTTGCCTGTTCGTCTACACACCTTAAGTTTGAACCACCCTCAGAGAAGGAAGGTGGATATTTCTTGTCTGGCCCGGGAGGATATATCCATAACTTTCGATTCTACTAAAGAGAGGTAGTTAAATTAGTATCACCAGCCTCGGAACCCTGACTGCAACCTGAACCTCGCCAGCGGAGTGGGAGCGGTTCTGACGCCACGGAGACCCAGCATCGCACCCAGAGCCACGCACTGATCTGTGAACAGATCGACCATCGAAAGGCTGCCCAAGCTTCACCGTCAGACGGCCACGAGACGCCTCCGCCCAATCACTGACGGGAAGGCGCGTGCCCGCACGGAGATGCAGCATCCACGGCCAGCGAGGAGAGGAACGACCGCGTGAGCTCCAGCCTTCGATCGAGTCTGTCCTGAGATGACCCCGCCTGAAGTCAGCCCCCGACTCCAGTGTAAGCTGGTCCATCAATTTGCAGTCAGGGCCCTGACGCCAATTTATTTAATAAGAGAACTTTTATAGGTACATCCAGCCACATAGTTATTCCCGTCCAGGCTTAGGTTAATTCTCTAGAGGCTCTCCCAAGCGACTCCCCAAACCACACTGCCTCATACCATTTAGCCGTGAATCACTCTAACTTACTCGAGCTATTTTGTCTTTCATTACTATCACTTTGTTTTGTTTTGTTTTCTTGTTTTATTTTCTATTGTTTATCATTGAATGTAGTCCAAAAAGTAGTTTGATATTTAGCCAATAAATTCCCTTTTCTGAAGCATCCTTGGTGCGAGCATTTCTCTCTCTTGCCCTGGTCTGTAGACTTCAAATAAATCTGGGTTACCTCACACCCTCACATAAGGTTCTAGCAATAATAATATTAAAAATTGCAAAACCCGTTACACTACTTATCTCCTTATGATGGCTTTTGTGTTCAAAATGGTGTTTCAGCCGTTGTAAACTGTTTGTAAAAGATGTTTTTAAAACTGCCCTTGGGGAATCCTTCACTAAAAAAGGGCAGCATGGATCCTTCCATATAATAATTTTAGACCAATTTCAAACTGTCATTTTTTAAATAAAATCTTAGAAAACAGCATTGGTTCATGTTGTGAATGACCTCAGGCTTAGTTCTGATGCACTGTCTTTCTATTTTGGTCTCACTGAATCTTAGTGAAGCTTTTATACTGTTGATCACAATCCACTGTCTTGAACACTGGGTAGGCCTCTCAGGCATATTTAATGAATACACAGTTCTTGGTTTAAGTACTGTCCAAAAATTATATTTCAGGAATATTGCAAGGAATAAGTGGCATAGAATTATATAATGGAGAGAAGATGGAGAGTGATCCACACAAATTTTTGTGTGATGTCAGCTTTTTATTCACCAGCTTCTTGTTCAAATTTTCCTGTTACACCTTAAAAGATGCAGAATCAGACACCAGAAGGTAACTGCTGCACCATTTAAGTGGAATAGGAAAATCCAAACAAGGAGCTGGCAAATAAGAAGCTGACCTCAGCCTCGTCCTTCTTACTGCGTTTTTACGCATTTGCTGAGTGTGTGTGTGTGTGTGTGTGTGTTTCTACTGGAGTTCACGCTATACTCACTGCTGCTCCAGATGGCTAACCAACATGTTCACAGTTACAAAATAGAGATAAAAGCTACTGAGAACAGTCCACGTGGTCTAGATTAATCTATGTCTGAGCATTATAACAAAAAAAAAAATTGGTGAAAATTGTTTGGGTAATAAGGAAGTTATGGCATAATTAATCATTAAAACTTATCTCAGTACACATGTATTTGTTTACAAGCGGATTTTGACCATTTCAACATGCCGCACGCTGAGATGTATCACTTCAGATAGAACGCAGCATTTGTGTATTTATATCTATGCCCCGAATTGCCTTCGGTGTCCCCTTCAGAAACTGCTCTTGAGAATTTTTCGGTTTACTATCATCCCCCACCCCCAAAATGTAATGAAACATCTGCCAATGGATACAAGCAGAATTGATTATTGTAATGCTGTTCTTACTGGGCTCCCTAAAAAAACAACGCATCCTCAACAAAAAAAACACAAAAAAGAGAGATCATATCACTCCTGCTTTGAAAGAACTGGACTTTTAAAGTTCTAGTACTTGTTTCTAAGGCTCTAATACTATTTTTAAAGGCTCTAAATGACCTTAAAACTCCAACTTACAACACAGAATGTCCATTTGTACATGTCTGTTAATGTGTCTGTTCATGTAATCTTCGATCTACAGATACTGGCCTTCTGCAAATACCTTCCGGTCAAAAAAACAGAACCAAAAAAAAAAAAACAAAAACAAATAAACAAACAAAAAACATGGTTGATGCTTCTAATCTGTAAAAATCAATTGCACCTTTTCTTGGTCATTTGAAAATATATCCCTTTAACTCAGCATTTAATTAAAGTTTTACATCTCTTGATATTAATCTTAGTTTTAATTTTAGTTTGATCCATGTTATTGTCTTATATGATTTTAAATAAATACTCACAGTTTCTTCCATTATTGTTATCTCCTGTCTGTAAAGTACTTTGAGCTGCCACAAGCACCAAAAGTGCACTATAAATAAATATTATTATTATAATAAAAAAGAAGCATGTTTGGTTTGTTTTTGTTAGTTGGTCTTGTGTACTAGAAAAAAAAAAGATGGCACTGAGCTTTTCTTTTTTTCAAACGATTGCTTAAAACACATTGAAAATATTTGGCTCAGCAATTTCTGCTTTACTAAAGCTTCTCATTATTTTATGATTATTTTATTATTTTATTTGATGTACTGCACACAGCTTGTAGTTTAAGTTGAGCTAAAATCATATAGTTTTCAAACACTCAAGTTCAGCTCACTCTCATGCTGAAAATGAGCATGTGTTTCAAAACAAAAAATCAAAAATAATTTTAAATGTATAATTTCTGTAATTCTAAAATTAATTACTCATTATGTGGAAATAATCATATACTTTCTCTGTAAGTAATAATTAATCTATGGCAGTAGTTTGCAGGAGGACTGATTGTGAGAGAAGAGAGAACTCGAGGAACTTGGGTGGGAGTTCTGGGTGGCTACTGCTCTAAGCTTTTTCAACTGTGGTAGGACTTATACAAAACTGAGGAAACAGGGAGGAGATGGGGTGGTGGTTGGAATTGTGAAAACATTGTCATGGGAAATGGTAGGCTGAGATGGGAATTTATAGGGTGTTAGACTGGAAGGTGCAGAGGTTTCAGGTGTGGCCCTCCACCCAAATTTCAGGTATTCCATAATTCAATTTAAGACCTTTTGATGAGTATAAAATATACCCAAAGAAATAAGAAATGCCAGTTTAAAACACTGTTTTACTAAAATTGGTTTAGATTTCTGCCCCATCAGCAATGGTGAGCCCTCAAAACACTGTGTTTGATGAACTCTCTCTTTTCTTTCTCTCTCTCAGCAACAACAATGGCAGCCACGTTAGTGCCAAATACAAAACATGTTTTTCTCAGGTGTTGAATAACACACAGTCATTATTTACTATCAGTCTTAGTAAATTATAAGAAGTGTTTTATTATTACAAATTCCTCCATGGGTTCTGTGCTTTGAGAGGGAATCTCCTATAAATGAATGTGCAATGAGGCAAAAGCATAAAAGAGCGCTGACTGATCACTGCATTGTTTTTTTTTTTTTAGGTGCTAAAAAGTTCTTGCCCTTTTTTAGAAAATTATAACACTCACTTTTGTCACCCCAAAACAACATTTGTGATGGACAAATCCAGAACCCAAAAAAGTTAAGTTTACACTCAGCAGACCATTTCTGTTACCTTTATTACAGAAGGGCAAAGCATTCTCATTGCTCATACTGTCAATACTGGATGCTGACAAAGACATAAAAACACAAAAAGTATGTTTTAGAATATCAGACACATTGATGTTGTAGGCATGATATTATACATTGTTGAGAGAATAAGTGGTTGAAAATTCATGACTTACTGCTGTTGCTCAGAGCAGACTGATTATCCGTGTACGGCACAGTTTCCCATTTCAGTTTTTTCAGTGTTACACAGTCAGATGTTGATCGAGATGGACCAGTCGCCCAGTTTCTGTAGGCAGAGCGTCCTTCATCAGTCCACTGCCAGTCATCACGCAGCAGGCCGATCCAGAAGGACGTGCTGCTGTTCAGCCCTTCTATCTTCACTGCTTCATTCTGGTTCTGATCTCTGATGCTGACCAGATCAGTGTAGTTCTTCCTGCAGTAACTCTGAGCTTCAGACCAGCTCATATTCTCAAAGATTAAGTAATAACTGACAGTTACGTCAGTGTCTATGGAGGTGAAAAAAATAGACACATTAGTGTTGGATTCTGAAGCTGATGTTAATGCAATCATGCGGAGATGTTTAAAATGTGTATAGTTAACAGAGGTCAGTTACATATATCAGTCTTAATGGCAGAGTAACAGAAACAACCTAGGGATTAAGAGATGTTAGAAATGAACATCTATAATTAATTATGATAATTTTTTGTGTATAAAAACACAAATGTAACAAGTAGAAAGTAAAGAAGATACTAGTATAGAAGTATATTTCCTCTTTATAAGATCTGAAGATGTAAGTAATTAACATAGTTTATAGTTAATAGTCAGTAGTTACCTTGTTTATAGCACATGAAATTTCTTTGCTCTGTGCAGTTAAGTCTTTCCCATGAACCATCAGCTTTCATAGCAGCACAGCAGCACTCTGACCCACAGACCCCTGTCAGGTTACTGAACGTAACATTATCACCATTAGACCATTTATAAGTGCGATACAGACCAATCCAGGCTTTAGTGATACCAGTCATGTTAATCAGATTAGTCAGTGCAGCGTTGTCTTCATCACTGTACACAGTAACAAGGTCAGTGTAGTTTGTTCTGCAAGCTGCTTGAGCTTCAGACTGATTCATACTCTTCTGAATTACATGGAAAGTTTTGAGATAAATTTGGTCTGCAAAATAAAAACTGTGGTAAATGTTTTCTAGTTAATGTAGAAGAAAACAAATGAAAGATTTAGATATGTGTAAATGTGAAAATGTTTAGCTTTATCTTTCTGCTCTGTTTATATAAATTTTCTGTGTTCTATTATTAGTAAAATTGGAATCTGGATGGAAATATTCAGGTTCCTTCAGTAAAGGTCACAGATTCCATATATACACTGCTTAAAGGGAATAAGTTCCAGGATCTGATTAATCTTCAGTGTGGTACCATGATGATGTAACTTTTTAGAATTTTAGGTGAGTATAATCATCAGAAGAGACTGTGTCTAAGCAGGACCAACACATTTATTCATTATCTTTGACTATAATATATATTATACTTTTATACCATGATGCACACATATATGCTATTGATCATGTATGATTCCACATATTAAAAACACTTGATGGGAATAAAAAAAGGCTTAATATAGACTCATTTTTGTAATTTGTTTTCTCTGGTGTGAAAAACTGTGCCGCTGAACAAGGTCATTTTTTAAGTTTGCTAAAATGAAACCCTTAAAAAATGCCACCCCACCACTTGAGGGACTCAGTGTGTTGTGGCAGAATATTCACTGCTGGCAAGCTTAACTTTTTCTAAAGTCTAACTGGCCTTAATATGTTCTTAAAGTCACTATATTATTGTGACTGCTAGATATAATTTTTTATGTTATCAAAAAATCTTTGTATTGAAAATTAATTATAGACTTTTATAATGAATCATGACAGCTTTTGGAACCTAAAAACACTGGGGCAAAACTGAATAATGTAAGATAATTAAAAGCTGAAGATAAAAGGTATTAATACATTTAATTCTGTATAGTTAATAGTCTGTTGTTACCTTGTTTATAACACATGACATTTCTTTTCTCTGTGCAGTTTAGACTTTCCCATGAACCATCAGCCTTCATAGCAGCACAGCAGGACTCTGACCCACAGACCCCTGTCAGATTACTGAATGTAACATTATCACCATTAGACCATTTATCCCTGACGGACTGACTGCAACACAGACCAATCCAGGCTGTTCCATTACCAGCCAGATTAGTCAGTGCAGTGTTGTTGTCATCATTGTACACAGTGACCAGGTCAGTGTAGTTTGCTCGGCAAGCTGCTCGAGCCTCAGACCGATTCATTTTCTTCTCAATGATGTGGAAAGTTCTGAGACAACTTTGATCTGCAGGACAAACAACTGTAGAAAGAAGTCCTGTAGTTAATGTAGCAGAACAGAAATGAAAGATGTAGATGTGTGTAAAGGTGAAAATGTTTCACTTTATCTTTCTGCTCTGTTTATATAAATTTTCTGTATTCTGTTATTAGTAATATGGGAATTGTGATGTAAATATTCAGGTTCATTCAGTAAAAAGCACAGATTTCTTATGTACACTGCTCACAAGAAAATACATTTCAGGACCGAGCTATTCATCAGGGTGGTACCATGATGGTGTTACTTTTCAGAATTTTAGGTGGGTAAAATCTGCAGAAGAGATTGTGTGCTATCTAAGCAACACCAACACATTTATCTGTCTACGACTATGATCTTTATTATACTTTTATATCATGATGCAAACATATAGGCTATTATTCATGTCTGATTCAACAAACAGTGTTTAAAAATGCATGACTAAAATACACTTGATGGGGATACTGTTATTCATTTTTTCTGCACAAAAACCTGTGCTGCTGAACAATGTCATTTTTTAAGTCTGCCAAAATTACACCCTTAAAAATGACACCCCACCACTACAGGGACGCAGTGTGGTAGAGTTCTCTGCTGGCAAGCATCACTTTTTCTGATGTCTAACTGGCCTTAATGCTTTCATAATTTAACAATATTGACTGCTAGACATAATTTGTTATTTGGTTTCAAAAAATCTTTGTTTTATAAATCAATTACCCATATTGTTTCACATTTACATAGTATGTTTATTCATAATATTAAACACTGCTAAGAGAGTTAGTGTTTGTAAAGTCATGACTTACTGCTGTAGCACAGAGCAGGCTGAGTATTACTGCATGGCACTCCTTCCCATTTCCCTTTTCTCAGTGTTGCACAGTCTGATGATGACCGAGGCTGATCAGTTGCCCAATTTCTGTAGGCAGAGTGTCCTCCATCAGTCCACTCCCAGTCATCATGCAGCAGGCCGATCCAGAAAGATGTGCTGTTCTTCAGCCCTTCTGTCTTCACTGCTTCGTTCTGGTTCTGATCTCTGATGCCGACCAGATCAGTGTAGTTCTTCCTGCAGTAACTCTGAGCTTCATACCAGCTCATATTCTCAGAGATTAAATAATAATTGAGAGTGAGGTCAGTATCTGCGGATATGAAAGAATCAACACATTAGTGTTGAATTGTGAAGCTGATAAGAATAAATAATGCAGAGTTTGTTAAAATATATAAAGCAGAGGTGTGAACAAGTCACCAAGTTGCAAGTAACAAATACGTCTTGACATTCGAGTCCCGACTCAAGTCCCAAATCAAGACAGTTGAGTTTTAATTCACGTTCTGAGTCAGTAAAGGCAAGTCTCAAGTCGAATCCCCAGTCCTAATCTTCAAGTCATAAACGAGTCAGTCTGCAGTCTTCAGCTAATTTAAGGCCTTTTCAACACTAAACACCACAATTGGTGCAAAGAGTACATCAGGCTTTTATTCACAGCATATCATTAGTGTGTGACTGTATATTCACTTTTTGTATCATTCTAGAGAAAATACAAATATATACTACACAGATAACCATGACAGGCATAATTGCATACACAAAAATCAGTGCAACTACACTAAAAAAGAATGTTCAAAGTACTATTCACGTCTGTTTAAAAAAGAAGTATTTAAAGATAATAATTATTGATGACTTTTGGGAACATTGAGAGCATAGGACTAAAATAAACACTAGATCAGCACTAAAACTACATCAGTTGACTAAAAACAACCCCTAGTTTGAATTTAGACACAACAGAAACCAAAAAGACAAAGCTGAACAGATTACAGAAACGATAGCAAAATTATGGTGAATGTACGAATCTGATTTTGTCTTTTTATTCGCTAGCTTTTTATTCAAATTTTCGAATAGAAAGCTGGTGAATAAAAAGTCAACTTTAGCATCGTGGTGAATGTTGCACTTATTTTAACAGCTCTGTTTTTTTTTGGTTTTTTTTTGAAGAACATGGTCAGTTCACCTGGCAAGCTGCTCCTGTAAGGCTGGAGTTTAAGCACTGAGTAAGGGCTTGTTGATGCTGTTGATGCTTCGCTCATTTCCAACTTAAGGAAGCAAATTTGATCTCTAATCCTTCACTGGTCTTCCAAAAATAAAATAACTCAAGTATAAGCACAGTAACTGACATTTGATGATGCTGCTATAAATCAAATTTATGGCAGAAAACGGATCCTTTTACATGAAAAGTATCCAACTCTGTATCTGTCTGCAGTCAGATGTCTCTCCACGTTTCCTCTACTTTGGGTCTTTCCAAGTCATGAGGTTCAAGTCCGAGTCAAAGTCGAGTCGCAAGACTTTCTCAATTTTGTTCAGTCAAGTCTCAAATCATCAAATTTGTGACTTGAGTCAGATTCGAATCTAAGTCATATGACTCGAGTCTACACCTCTAATACAACCCCAATGCTAAAAAAGTTGGGACGCTGTGTAAAATGTAAATAAATATAAATACAAAAAGAATGCAATGATTTGCAAATGTCTTAGACCCATATTTTATTCACAATAGAACATAGAACACATATCAGATGTTGAAAGTGAGACATTTTACCATTTCATGAAAAATCTTAACTGATTTAGAACTTGATGGCAGCAACGCATCTCAAAAAAGTTGGGACAGGGGCAACAAAAAGCTGGAAAAGCAAGTGGTACTAATAAAAAACTGCTGGAGGAACAATTTGCAACTAACTCACATGACTGGGTATAAAAAGAACATTTTAAAGATGCAGAGTCTCTCAGGAGCAAAGATGGGCAGAGGTTCAACAATCGGTGAAAAACTGCATCTAAAAATTGTGGAACAATTTCAGAAAAATGTTCCTCAATGTAAAATTGTGAAGACTTTGGATATCCCACCATCAGTACATAATATCATCAAAAGATTCAGGAAATCTGGAGAAGTCTCTGTACACAAGGGACAAGGCCAACAATCAATATTGGATGGTCGTGATCATCGGGCCCTCAGGTGGCTCTGCATAGAAAACAGGCATGATTCTGTACTGGAAATCACTGCATGGGCTCAGGAACACTTCCAGAAATAATTGTCTGTGGACACAGTTCGCTGTGCAATCCATAAATGCAAGTGAAAGCTGTATCATGCAAAGAAGAAACCATATATAAACAAAACCGCCAACTGCTCTGGGCCCAAGCTCATTTAAAATGAACTAAGGCAAAGTGGAAAAATGTCCTGTGGTCAGATAAATCACAATTTTTAATTCTTTTTGGAAATAATGGACACTGCATCCTCCAGAGTAAAGACCTCCCAAGCTTGTTATTAGCACACAGTTTAAAAGCTAGCATCCATGATGGTATGGGGGAGCATAAGTGCACATGGCATAGGTGTCTTGTACATCTGTCAAGGCACCATTAATGCTGAATGAAATATACAGCTTTTGGCAACATATGCTTCCATCCAGACAGTGGTCTTTCAGGGAAGGCTTGCGTATTTCAGCAAGACGATGCTAAACCACATGCTGTGTCCATCACAACAGCATGGCTTCGCAGAAGAAGAGTCTGGGTGCTGAACTGGCCTGCCTGCAGTCCAGACCTTTCACCAACAGAAAACATTTGGCGCATCATGAAACGAAAAATCCACCAAAGAAGACCTAGGACTGATGAATAGCTAGAATCCTACATAAGACAAGAATGGGACAACATTCCTCTCCCAAAACTACAGCAACTGGTCTCTTCACTTCCCAGACGTTTACAGACGGTTGTTAAAAGAAGAGGAGATGCTACACAATGGTAGACACTGCCCTGTCCCAACTTTTCTGAGATGTGTTGCTGCCATCATTTTCTAAAAGAGTTAATGTTTTTCATGAAATGGTAAAATGTCTAACTTTCAACATCTGATATGTGTTCTATGTTCTATTGTGAATAAAATATGGTTCCATGAGATTTGCAAATCATTGCTTTCAGTTTTTATTTACATTTATTTACATTTTACACAGCGTCCCAACTTTTTGGAATTGGGGTTGTATGTAGTTAATAGAGGTCAGTGACATGTCTCAGTCTTCAAGTCATAATAACAGAAACGGCCTGTTTATTTCAGATGGATAAAGAGATGTTAGAAAATGGACATTTGTAATAAACTGTGACAGTTCTCGAAACATAAAAACAAACACGTAAAAAGTAGACCTCACAGGAAAAAGTAAAGAATATAGGATATTTCCTTTTTAAAAGTGATTCATATAGTTTATAGTTAATACATAGGACTGACCTTGTTTGTAACACATGAAATTTCTTTTCTCTGTGCACTGAAGTCTTTCCCATGAACCATCAGCCTTCATAGCAGCACAGCAGCACTCTGACCTACAGTCCCCTGTCAGATTACTGAATGTAACATTATCACCATTAGACCATTTATAACTGCGATAGAGACCAATCCATGCTCCGCTGATACCAGTCATGTTAGTCAGATTAGTCAGTGCAGCGTTGTCTTCATCAGTGACCAGGTCAGTGTGGTTTGCTCTGCAAGCCTCTCGAGCCTCAGACTGAGTCATACTCTTCTGGGGAGTTCCGAGATCATTTTGATCTGCAGAAGTAAAAGCTGTGGAAAATGGTTCTAGTTAATGTAGCAGAACAGAAATTACAGGTGAAAACGTAGATGTGTGTAAATGTGAAAATGACTATATTTTCCTGCTTTTTGATTTTTGTTTTCTGTGTTCTGTTATTAGTAAAATGGAAATTCGGATGGAAATTTTTAGGTTCCTTCAGTAAAAATTATATACGTCATATATACACTGCTCAAAGGAAATAAATTCCACTATCTGATCATTCATCAGTGTGGTACCATGATGCATGATGATGTTACTTTATTATATATATATATATATATATATATATATATATATATATATATATATATATATACATATATAAATTCTTGAGCTTTCTATTTATAATTCTTTATATTGTTAACTCCTCACCATCCCATGAGTAATATAAACCAGTACCTCGTGCAATATTCCATGTGAATTTTGGGTATTTCCATACAGTGTAAATAGCTTGATATTTATTTATAATTCTTTATATTGTTAATTTTTTGTGAAGGATAGCATGTATATTTTTTTCTTTTTTTTACTTTTAGTACTATATATATAATATATATATATATATATATATATATATATATATATATATTGTCTATATAGTAACAAGTAACAAACTGTAAAAAAAACCTTGTTAAGTACTTAACAAAGTTAATTACTTGCTTGTTAATTCTCTTCTTGTTACTTCTTCTCTTTTCTTGAGTGCCTTGCTGCCCCTTTGCTGTTGTAACACTGAGAATTTCCCTGTTGTGGGACTAATAAAGGATTATCTTATCTTATCTTATTAGAATTCATGTTTAATACACATAATACACATAACAAATGATGTTGAAAAGCTGTGTTCCACCTCTTCCACAACTGTAGACTTTATTAAAGGCTCTGGCTCCAGCTCTGCCTCACACATGAGAACTTTTACTCTCAGTTTGCTTTCTAACCAAAACTTTCCTCTCCACTCTCAGCCTCCATTCTTCATTCAGCATGTTCGTAGTGGTATGCAAATTTTAGAGTGTTAGTTCTATAGCATTTATTCACTAGGTTATTCTGACAAGAACTCCTATTGAGAAGCCAGGGGTAACCCATAGCTGTGTTCTGATTAGTTTAGGAAGTGCTCCATCAGCATAATGCTGATGGTTGAGAAGACATAGTGAGGCTTAGAGCGAATTATTAGACAAAACATTCTCTTGTACAGCATGGCCGTGACCAACTACAGCCTTTTAATAAAGCACATTGACCTGTGCATAAACTATGTCCACTTTAATAACATTAAATGCTACAATATCTTTTTTCAATATGAAATGCGTTCAATCTTTGCCCTAATTCCAGCTTCTATTATTAATAGGAGACTTGCTTTCAGTTTATTTACAGAAATCTGCAGGGATAATTTTTATGTACTTCTTGTAAACACTTCACTGTCTTGGAAGTTGGAAATCTCTTGGAAATCTTGTAAGTTGGTTGTATTTTCAAGAGTAAAGTAATCCCAATTAACAATTTAGATTCATCAGTCCTGTCATATCTCACACAAGCAGCAGGTGGTGCTAAGGAGTCAGCAACCCCTATATGTGATGTTAACCTGAACGTGTTAAGCTGCTAGGTTTACGCTTCTGTACTGAGCTTTAGAACTTTCCTACTGGTGTGTACTTGGAGATTTTCTGTGAGGCCTTTGGAACTTCGTAAGTTTTTGTTTTTTTTTTTTTCCACTGGGCATGTTTGAGCTATTTTTGTATGTTTTTAAACCCTGCAAAATTTCTTTTGTGTTTTGAGTTTTTTGAGACCGCTTGCTTTCCCCGATTGCTTTGCACTATCTAGCTTTGAACCCCTTGCATACTTCTCCCCTCATGAAGCATTTGTTTTAGACTTCTGTAATAAAGTGTGTCCCATTCTACACTGTCAACTTTTCTGCACTTGAACTTCATCCTGCTCGGTTTGAGACCAGTTTATAAACCTTACTCCATCTCAGATGTCAAGCTATAGAGTTTTAGTGAAAATGTTTTTCATTTTTATTTGGTCTGTTTCATTTTGTCAGTAATATCCTTTCAGATCCATGGTGTTGACCTTTCACAGTAGAAGGGTGGACAGAAACACCTGTGGATTTTTTCAGAACTGAAGTAAGAGAGGAGCTTGATTTTCTCCTCTCTCAAAGACAAAAGCTTTAAGTACTGTATATCTGATGGTGACCGTTTTGAAGGTCTACCAGGTCTTACACAGTTGTTATAAGTCTCATTTTCCAAATATCTATAGTGCTTTGGGAATAGCTTTTGTTGGGAGGACACAGTAATAACTGATTATTTTCAACATTGGATAGATTAGTTAACACATCCTCTACAGAGAACACACTTTTGCACATTTTTATGCTTAATTACTTTTTATTTGCTGAATTTAACATATTACGAAAAAATAATAAAATGTGCTCTTTGCAAATGTTATGGTAAGCTTTATATAAACTTCCCAATACATTAAACTGGGCAGGTAAATATAAATTTTCCACTGAAATGTGCCAAAAATACCATATTAAAGTTTATTCTCTGTAGAGGATTTGTTAATTTATTTTCACTTAGAAAATCAATGTAATTTGATGGGGGTTGTTCAAACTTTTGCAGTTGACTGTACTTGGAGGCTTTTGTGTAATTTTCTTTAGAAGGTATGTTTGCTAGTTCTATTATGACATTATAAAATTAGTAATTTTTGCTTTGTGGCTGTTTTAACTGTAAATTAAATGAACTAAAGGGTGATCTCTGATCTTTATGATGTTTAGAGCCTATGAAATTACAAAGCTTATTTATTGTGAGTAGATACTAACCTGGGAGGAGGATGAGGAGAAGAAAGATGGCATCTGTTGCCATGGTAACACAACACTCCCACTATTGCAGAGTTGGTTGCCTGTGGGTTTAACACAACTTATCCTCTATGGTGAGGTATGTTGTTTAGTGTATTCCTTTCCATGAAAAGAGTTCAATTTATGTCCCATTACCTTTTTAAACACAATAAAGGGGCTGGTGTTTTTTTTTTTATTTCTGTAAAAACTGAAGTGATCTTAGCTTAAAATTAATGTATTGAAATTAGTATTTCAAGATCACAAAAACTCCCTGTATCCACTTTAAAATGGTGATTTTGGGCTGTCTCACCTCACAGACATTGAACTTAATGGAACTAAATGAAACTACATGAGACATAGTTACATAGATACAAAGATGTTTTGGGCCCAGGAAAGTTAAAATGAGGAGAGAGGAACTAAACTGTTCTAGTCCGCAATCAGGAGAACTGAATAGATTCAGTTCGGTTATTACACAATGCACAACTTCCACACAGTCTGTGGAAAACAGTGCGTAACTTCACAGAAACAGTACACTAGCAGCTTATTGTAAAAAAAAATAATAATAATAGCAATTTATTATACTAATAATTATTCAATGACATCAAAACTGATCAGAAAAGCCCAGAAAGATGCATGTATCTGACTAAACTTACCTGAAGACGTGCTTGCTGTTGAATGAGTCAAAAATATTCAAACGATGAGGATAATGTTCAGTGTGGGCAGGAGTTAATAAGCAAATGTCAAAGCTAAGACACAAAAAAAACTGTCAGATAGAGCTGCATTTGCATGCTGTTTCCATGATTAGCGAGTGGAGAAAAAGAAAAAAACAAAACCAAGCATTGCAAAGTGTCCAACAGTGAGAGAAACAGTGAACAGAATCTAAATACCATACACTGACTAAGCGTATAGCAAAACAATGTGCCTTAAAACAGTTTTTGTCATATGGCTACCACTGTGCATAGTTCAGTCTTAACTTACATTTGTGGATGCTGCCACAAACAGTGTTCATTGATAACAGTTCATCAAAGTATCCCAGAGCTCATGTGAGATCCATCACAGAAGCATGCTGGTTTTTAATGTCATGCCAAAGGTCACAGACATTCAAGCATGCTTGCATCAACTATTTTGAATATTTCACAGTGTTGGCAGTCTTAAATTGTTAAGTTGATATGGTTAAACGTTACATATCCTTTCTTTGCGCTGTTTTTGTTTAAAAAAAGTGGATTGAAAGTGGATTGAGAAATCACTGCTTTCTGTTTTTATTTGCTTTTTCATATACTGTCCCAACATTTTGGAATTGTGCTTCTGTGTTTGGGTTTCTTGACTAACTAGAGATGCAGCACTGGTCTTCCTCAGGGTGGTGCTGTAGCTGTTTACCCAGTTGGTCCTTCATAGCCTAGCAACTGTGACTATACTCAGGACACCTCTGAAAAACTTCACAATATGCTGTAACATATTTGTGAAATAACCCCATCTTTTCTTCTAGAAATGCTCTTTTCTTACAAGCTGGCAGGCCCAAAGCTCTATTACACACTACTACAACCTAAGAATAGCACAACCAGTTTGCATTGAAGTCCCTGCAGTTACTGAGGAATAAGTCTTAGTATGTAATAAGCCTGGGATTTTAAGGATTTTAACTGAGATCTTATCTCCTGCTGTATCTTTGGTTTTAGAAATAAGTAACAATTCACTATTTCCACCAATCTCTTGGGAAAACTGGGCTAGCTTTCAGTTTTACAAATGTTTTATGGCACACTGTAGTTTTTTAGAGGTATATTGGGTATATTTACAGTTGCTAGGTTATGAAGAATCAACTGGGTGAACTGCTATTGAGCCACCCTGAGGCAGACCAGTGCTACATCTCTAGTTAGTCAAGAAATCCAAAGACAGAAGCTTGCTGATTGTGCATGAAGCAGCTTAACAACAGAGATGCAAATTCCTCACCTTTTGACCAAAATCAAAATTGGTCACCTACGAGATTGGGGCAGATCTGAGGAGAATCCCTCCTGAGGTGAAAATGTTTCTGACCTTAAATTTCTGTAATTTGTAAATGCTCAAAAACTCATTTTTAACTTGGCCTTGTAATTTGGCAACTGATCCAAATTCTTTTTTTCAAAAATATGACAAATTGATGCATTTCAATGCATACATATTCAGTTTTGTTGTTTATTAATTATTGCATATTATGTAATTGTGAATACAAATGTTCTTATTAATTTCTTATTCATTTTTAAAATTACCTTTATTTATTATTGTTGTTTTGTTTTATTTTTATTCTTTTTTTTATTAATTTTACCAATTACATTCCCATGACTAGAGTGAATGATGTAGCTGATTTCCAACATACTTTTTCCTTTTGTTAGCATGTTTTTTCTTATTGATGTATTCAGTTCGACAATTGTTCTTCAGAGGAAATTTCTTAAAAACCACTTCTGCAGTTTTTTTTTTTACAAATATTCTGACATTCGCCAATGTTTCTTATTTGAGTTTTGTTCTGAGGTAAGAACAGAGTCTAGCAAAAAGGTACGAACAATTCTGTGGTTTAAGACCACATCATGAACCCGACGTAGACTTTCTTTGGACCTTCTCCACAACAAATTTAAGAAAAAACTTAGGATGATATTGTTGAATAAGGCCTAATGTTCTCACCTTTTTTACTTATTACCTGTTTGCGTCCCTGAAACAATGACAGCATAAAGTCATAGAAAGTTTATTTTCAGGTACCCCCAGAATTTTTTTTTATCTTGAGAGATTCAGGGGATTTAAGAGGTTAATTAGGGGGTCCCGAACACCTCAGGACCTGCTGTATTAATTTAACAGCAGGACTATGGGGCTACCTCGCGTAATAAAATGGTAACTGCCAACATTTAGATTCTAGTCACTCTTACCCTTCTAGCACTGCTGTGTACCATGTGATGCACAGGGTTAAAGAAATGCATAAAAATTGCTTACTGTATGCTGACATGGCTGTAATTATATCTGTAAACGTTTTCTGTTCTTAATTAAATGGTGAATGGGAATTTTACTGAAATTTAAGTGATCTGAATTACTGGATACTCAGAAATGCTCCTTGCCACAACCTTTTTCATACTCCACTTTGAAAATGCCAGCTGCTCTTTACATTCTGTGAATACTTCATAATAAATGAACCAATAGGAACAGTCCAAATAACTTGGAATGATGATTTACATGTCAGCAGAGTGCAAACCATGAAAGGAGGAAGTGTTGATAGGGAAATGTATGTCCAAAAAGAGACAGAGAATCTCATATTTCACAGGCTTCAAACATTTTACATAAATAAAAACTGACAGGAACAAGGTAGAAAGAACTGCCTTGTTGTTAGACAGAAAGTAAGGCCTGTTTATGGGAGGCAAATCCAGCCAAAAAAGAAATTAAAATTAAAACAAGGAAATGTAAATGCAAACCTCATTTTGCCCTTTCTTTTTCCGAATATCCTTCCCAAATATCCTGCCAAATTGAAAATGAAATGAAATACCTACATTCGTAATTTCATTTTTCACATAAGCACGAGTCATTTGTGACAAAAAATAAAAATAAATTTAAAATATCTAAAATGAAAAAGCTAATAGAGAAAAAATCAAGCTTCACTTTGGCTTTACCTTTTCTTCATGAAATGTGTTAGACGTGTCAAAACTAAACTAAACAAAATGCAGTGTTTACTTTCTTATTTCTTTTTCATAGTGATAAGCTGCACATCTGAGAAAATCTAAATGAAAATGCAATATGGATAAATCAACAGCAAAGTGACAGTTTGCGATTCAGTTTTCAACATGGACACGTTTTAAGTGTCAGAATGAAAAGGCAAATGCAAACGAACATTGACGCCACCTGCTGATGACCGGGTCCGTGTACCTTCTGTTCATTTGATTTTCTTTTCAAAATCCAATATTTAAACTGCACATGGGTCAGTTCTCATTTTTAATTCTATTATTGTCAGTCGAAAAACAAGAAATAGCTTCATTTCACAATTTTACAGAGGGAGCGGAGGTGACCTTCATTGCTAAGGGGCTGCCCTGTATGTGTCTTTTCTGCAGGTGTCAATAAAGAGCACTTCTCTAGCAGAATGACAGTCTCTCCTGAGTCACCAAGAGGCTACTGGTCATTATGTCTGAAAGACTGAATGTAATCTAATGTCCATATGTCTATATGAAGCACGTGCACGCATAGGGGAGTTCGGCACAACACCCACGTTTTCAAGTTGACCAACATGCAAATATATGTTAATTAGCTCTAGGCGGGGCTACAGGGTACATTTTAGGACATCCTCATAACTCAGAGTCAGAACCACATCATACTTGAAGCTAAACAACTTCAAATCTCGAAAAAACAATATATATACACGCCGCCAGGGCTGGAGCCTGCTCTCTGCTGATGTGCATTCACAAAAAGAGCCAAATAAATAACAATTGACTTGACTACTGGGAAATAACCCCAGGCTCCTTCCAACCCTAAATAGCTTTACCTTTATCCATAACCCTAGTGTGAAATAACCCCAGGCAAGGATTTGCCCAAAACCTTCTATGACTCACTGTAACAACATTAAAGGCCAAAGGCCTAGCTTTAAGTGTGCTTTTGCTTACTCTGACCTCAACAACAGTCAAAATCCTTGCCCTGTATCACCTTTCACTTTATCTAACTTCACCACATACTTAAGGCCTAGCTCTAAATCTACTATTACTCACTCTAACTACATGATTAACCCAAGGCCTAGCTGTAGGGCTAATTTGGCCTGCTCGAACTACAGTGTGAGCTTAAAGCCTAGCTCTATACTTGTTTTTTAAGTCTCCAACTTCTTTGTGAGACTAATGGAGTGCTACAGATCTCAGTTCACTCCATTTAGTCCTTCACAAGCCTGAGGCCCTTACCCAAAGCTTACTGTGACATTTTTTAAGTATAGATCAATAGCTACTGTTACTCACTCAGATGTCATCACAATCCTAGGCCCTAGCTGTAAACCTACCAAAACTTACTCAATCTACAGTGTAAGCCTGAGGCTTAGCTGGAAAGCTCACATTGGTTACTCTCACTTTTTCAGAAGCCAAAGTCCTTGCCCTACACTGACTTTTACAATCTCTAACTTCTTTCAAAACCTAAAACTTAGCTCGATGGCTACTCATACTCACACTATCTACATTATAGGCCTGAGGCCAGGCTGAAAGGCTGCTTTTGCTTACACTAGCTTCATCATAAGCCTGAGACTTAAAATTTACAAAGAGTAAGTAAGGGAGACTATAGAGCTGGGCCTTAGGTTTATGCTTTACTCTACTTTCCTCTTAAACCTAAGACCTTGCTCTGAAACCATTGTTACTTATTTCACTACAATAAGGGCACAAGGCATAACCAGAAGCCTTTTTTGCTTACGCTGACTTCATCATAAGCCTAAGACCTTGCTATATACCTTTTTTTTGATATTCTTTAACTTCACTATAAGCACAAGGCCTAGCTTTAAATATACTATTACTCACTCTAACTACATGACAAGCCCGAGGCCTGGCTGTAAGAATACTTTGGCCTACTCTAAATACAACATGAGCTTAAAGTCTAGTTCTGTACCTGATATGAATTCTCCAGCCTCATTGTAAGTCTAATGGAGCACTATAGATCTCAGCTCACTCCCATTTATTCCATCACAAGCTTGAGGCCCTGCCACAAGCT